TTAAATCTTAATATGATGCTTTTGTGATATTTCATTAAACATGTGATGGTTTTGTGGAAGATCCATCTACGAAGGTTACAGCTGATTTTATTGGTAACCTATTCTGAAGAAGAATGCCCTTCTCAAGATTGCTAATTTTGTTTCAGATGGAGCTTTGTAGTGGATCTGTGGCCACTCAGACTTTGGGGGAATGGAGGAAAGGATTTTAATACAAAACTGTTAACCCCTTTTATTTTACTGCCTGTTGATTAGATACTCTGGGACTTGCTTTGTCCATTACTGATATATGTTGGTTGAATTTGGGTCAGCTAAAGAGAACATTTTATGTGCACAACTGATTCATTCCTCGAAAGAACAAAAGAGTTGTCATTTTAGTCCCTTAGGATGTATCTTGAGTGGTTTGGAATAACATGGAGTACATAGATTGGAGTTCTTTGCTGGTTCATTCTGCATCTTCTTACATGGGTTAGGTTTCTTCTCATCCGCTCTAGTATTTGTGAATATTTGAGGTGTTAAGGATGTTTCCAGAGCCAATATTTTTTTCTCTTAACGTTGGAAAAGGGAATCAATCATATTGCTGGAATATCATAGATAGAAGTCATGGTAAATAGGTAGATCTCGAGGGGCATGCTGGGAACACATTCTTTTTGGTCATATAATCTTAGATCTTTCATTGATGTCCTCAGTTGTAACTACAACTGTGATATCCCAATCCCACATCAGAAAAATATATGATTGTTAAACTCTATGTAAGAGTTGAAATTATATATTCCTAATAACTTAAGTTTAAATTTTTGAGAGTTAGTGGTTTAGGTATGAAATATCATTGGGGTAGTGTTACTTGGGCACGAGGTAATTACAAATGGCATCAGAGTACATGCCAACTCATTAACTCTAGGTTATTGTAATCTTGGACATGGTGAGGACGTCAAGAATTTGAGTGATGGAGATTTTGATACCACAATCCTATGTTGGAAAGAATGTAATTGTCGAATTTCATATAAGGGCTAAAATAACAAACTATTATTAACTTGAGGTTGAACTGTTGAGAGGCGATAGTTTAGACCCAAAAAGTTGTTGGGTTAGTGGTGCTTAGGTCGGAGCCATACAACAACAACAATTAGTATTATTTTTTCCTCCTGATTTGGGAACGCTATAGTTCCTTTTAAGTGTGAGCATTTATTTGAACAACGGTGCTTAAGTGAATAATACTAATGACTTCAGGTCTGCAAACTCCAAATTGTTCTTTCCTTGGCATGTGTTTAATATGCTCTCATTGGCTGGAATATTAAGTCATTTGTTTTTGCATAGTGGAGGTGGCTTGAAAGGTTTAGGTCCTGTGATCGGAAAAGAAAATGCTAGAATTTTTAGTATGATCCTATTTTGTTATCAAAAGTGAGACAAGATTGTGTTCTTAGCTTCTTTACGAGTTAAAGTGCATTGATCCTTTAGGAGGATTCCTCTTTTATGTTTCAAAGAAGTTAAATTGTATTGATTCCCTGGTTTTCTTTTTTGTTCCCCAAAGTAGGGATGGGGTTGGAACTGGTTTTGGAGCAAGAGCCATACACAGCACAAATGCAAAAAATTTCCCTGCCCTGGCTTTTGGGGAAAACTCCCGCCTCACCAGCCATCTCTCCCAACTTAATTCATGTAATATATTTAATAATATAAATTATTAAAAGATCATTTGAAATAAATCAAATACAAGGTTGAGAATTTAATTAAAATATCAAGAATATTAAACACAAAGCATGATGTTAAAATTAAAAGTAAATCAAGAAAAATAAGCAATATATTTTATTACTACCTAAAAGTATAAAAATATGAAAAACAGTTAGCAAGGAGGGGGGGGGGGGAGGTCTTCACCATGCCTCCACCAACTGACTGGAATAAAAAAAAATTTCTCCATTTCCATCTCATTTATTTGCAAATTTTTCCCATTTGCCAATCTTAGCTAGTGTGGATGTGATGCATAACAAGGTTAGCAGGTCTTATTGTCGTATCTATGCTAAATTACTTATCCTCCTATGGGTCATATGCCCTCTTTCCTCATCTAATATATTTCTTTTTTCATTTTGGAAAAGAAAAAAACTGAACAAAAGGTATGGCATTTTAACTGGTTTGTTGTGTAGACCTGCCTAAAGTGATTAGCACTAGAGGAAAGAAAGTCTTTAGGGCAGAGAGCTATTTTTGCCGCGTTGTGGGGGATTCGGTTGGAGATATGGCAGGATCTTCCGAGCTTGTCTCTCATTTTTCAATTCTTTGGGGTAGAGTTGATTTCTCTGAATCCATGTGGGTTAAGATGCATGAGTTTTTTTTTTTTTTTGAAGAAAAGATTATACTTTGTTTATTTTGCATGAAGATTGGTCAGTTATCATCTTTGGAGTTTTGCTGGCTTTCCTCCTCTCTTCTACTTTTTTTTTCTTTCCTTTAGGAGGATGACTAGTCATGGAGTTTTACTTGTTCTTCTCTTTCTGATTGTGCTCTTTTTATAAAGATTGGTCAGTTATCATCTTTGGAGTTTAGCCAGCTTTCCTCCTCTCTTCTACTTTTGTTTTTCTTTCCTTAGGGAGGGTAGCTAGTCCTGGAGTTGTATTTGTTCTTCTCTTTCTACTTTTTTTATAAGAAAAATATCTACCAAGTGTGATTAAAAATTGCTAGCCAGACTCATTTTAAATCCTTGCTCGTGCATTGAATTTGAAAATAGCCAAAAGAGACGCCATAAATACTCAAATATGGCGGTACAAACCTGTGACATTCTGGTCTCTATTATAGAGATCATTCTTCTACATGACATTCATGGTTTTATGATTTTACTTGCAGTTGCAATCTCTTGATGCTCTTGGAGTTTTGGAAGTCAGTATGAATGAACTACAAGATTCAAAGGTTAGTATTAAGAGTTTGTATCATTACTTGATGCTGATCGCCAATTACTGAGAATTATGTCTTTTTCACTCTTATCTGCATTTCTTTATATTTTGGCTGCTCTTAGAGTGTTGCATGGGTTTGGCATCACAGCTTTTCTCACTTATTTCTATTCATAAATGACCAGTCCCTGCCATTGATCCCTCCCTCTCTCTCTGTATATATATGTATATGTATATGTACAATACCTATGTGCAATATCTGTTTTTCCGTCAGTTAATGGATTTTTTTCATAATTTGTAGAAGGTGTTACGTGTCAATTAATTTGGCACGTGATACCTAAATTAATTGTGTTAAGTTTTATTAATGATGAGAGATTAAATTGAAAACTTTTCAATATTGTAAGAACTAAGTTGATCAAAAATTATGGTGTGAACTAATTTGAATACAATAAATAATATATGAACTAAATCACCTTATATTAGTATAATTGAAGAACCCTTATATGGCAAAACTATTCCAAAGTCAAAAGTTCATCATGCTCATCACAAAAAGGGTCTAAGCCTGCAGTAGACCCATCTGGAATCTGTGGGCCGTGGTCATGCATTTCCAAAACGGTTTAATATAGAGTGCGCGTAAACGAGCAACTCTACCTATCTCTACCTGATTCTTTTTATTTCTGTCCTTATATTTGAGAGTCAGATACTTTATCCAATGAATTTATTTGCCAGGCCAACCCAAGTGGAATTCTATATTATTCTGCTTATGTTTGTTGGCTGATTTGATTTTAGTTTTCTGTTAAATGACTATTAAATTTTATTACGTTCTGCTAAACTCTTTTTCTATTGTAATATGTAGGAAGAATACTTAGCCACAAATATGGCAAAAAATGCATTTGTCCAATGTATTTCTGCTTACAAGGAGGTAAATCAGTTGTGATTGATCTTTTACTTCCCTTGGGTGTGTATATCTCAATAGTTACAGCAAACTTGTTGGGATTAGTGAATGCTGCTGAAATGTGAACTTGTTGAGATTATGGACTTGCATTGAACCAGAAAAAGAATTCATATAGGTAATTTAGTTGAAACGAATGATAAAATATTATGTTTTCTTTCCTAATTAACAAAAGTTGGTGTAAGCTGGTGTATCTTGTCCAGCGTGCAGAAATCTCTGTTACTGTTTTATAAGGTGCTAAATAAGAATATAGGAAAAGTATCAACCAGAAAAAGGAAACAGAATATGGGATGGAGTTTTTGCTCTGATTTCTAATTTTTCTTTCTTGATTCTGAATGCGACTAGCCTAAATCTGCATAATCTTTGACGCCAAAGATATTTTTATCAGAATAAGATATGAATAGTTCTTTTCATCCATTTGGTGCTTCACCTTTTTTCAGGTTTTGATAGAGAACCATGTTAAACAATCTTGGATTTTTTGATAAAAAAATTAGCGATTGATTTGGGATCTTTAACATGCAGTACGGTCTAGAAAAATCACTCAGTAATTCCCCTGCAGTCAAGTCCGAGTACCTTTCATGTTTGAAGCATCTTTCTGCATTGATAGCTGACACAAGCGCCGAAGGAATACAACACCTTAGCAGAACTAACTTGGAAGACCTGCAGAACGAAATCAAGCGCGTCGAAGGTGAAATTTCTGCTTACAAGAGAAGTAAACGCTCATCAAGTAGCTGATTTAGTTGCATCAGGATGATAGAAATATGCTCCTCTTGATGAAGCAGCAGGTTAGGCCCATGCTAGCTGCCCCACAGACAGAACGAAGAGATCTCATCATTTGTAGTATTCTATTTTCTTTTTCTTTTTCTTCTTCTTTTCCCCAAATGAGGGGAAGTATCTTTTGCATAAATCGTTTTTTTTACCCCTCTTCATTTTCTCTTTCGAATGTTCATTTACTTTCTTGGTAGCTCTTGGAAGCCACCTGAGTTTGATTCTAACTTATTAAATAATCTTAGATAACTAATTAAAGAGATGAAATAAGAAACTCATGTTCATGTATATTAATAAGGTCACGAACTCTCCAATTTCTTGATTCCACTTTTTTACTTTCTTCTTTTTATTCACATTTTATTTTGCTAAATAAAGAGAAGGGTAAGAGTATGTAGGTAATGACTTATTAAATGCTATATGGCAATTGATTTTGACCTTGTAGAGTTCATATGCATTTATTAAATATTGTCATAAATATTAATATATAATCAATTTCTTAGCATTATACACAAGAATTTTTTATTTGGGAAACCTTTGAAAGCAAGTGAAGAGCTTGGTGCAATCTTGGTCATATAAATATGCTCACATGTCTTCTCAATATATATATATATATATATATACTCACATGGGATGAGAGTAAACATATAAATCTGCCATATAACAAAACCCTCTGTCATGAAACCCACAATACAAACACATTTACCACTAATATCCATCCCATGAAAGTAACCCAACTCCCACCTAACCCTAAGCAAACCCAATGGGCCCAACTCCCCCTCTCTCATTCAATATCCCCCCAAAAAAAAAAACCCTAATCCAACCAACCAAACACACTTCATGAGATGAGAAAATATACCTTTCTTCCCCAAATAATTATAGCTCATGGACAACAACTTCAAATCCTAAAAGCAAAACTACCAAGTTTCCAACCTTCTACCGTGGACCTTCACATTTCCACACAATCATCTTTCACCTTCTTTATTATTAATACCTTCCCATGTACCCACCTCCTCTTCTGCTGCCATTTCCTCATTTCAACTCATTCATGGAGCTCAGAAAGAAGACAAGATCAGCCTCCAGCACCAGCTTCCGGGAATTTGATGAGTTGGCCATGGTGAAAGCTGCTGCATGGGCATGGTTCCAACGCGGTTCTGGGTCTGAAGGAAAACCCACGACTCAACTTCACATCCAAAGAACTCAACGGCAACAGCACAGGCCCTCAAGGTATAAGCTCGAAGCCATGAGTAATAATAAAATCGCCATGAATGCATCATCACCACCGTCGTCGTCGTCGTCATCGGAAACACCTAGTCCTAGTCCTGTTCATGCCGACGATAACTCTCTGCTTGACTCGTACGAAATTCAATGCATCTCCAGGCAACTACACAGTTTTATATCGGACTCCGCCGGTGGCACATCCAGTTTTCACCGCGGTGAAAACGGCCGGTATAGAAGCGATCGGGGTGGTAATGGAAAGAAGATGAGTTACGCGAGCAAGATATTGAAAGGGATTCTGTTGAGGCACGCGGCGGTTTGTGGAAGAAGAGAAGATGTGGATACAAGAGCTTTCGGGAATGGTCGCCGGCGATCGAAACCGCCGGCAAAAGGAGCAATTTCAACGATTAAAGATTGCTAATCAAAATGTGAAGGGCTAACCATATAGCTTTGTGAATACATATGTAAATTGCTATTGATTCTTCAAGCTGCATATATATATATATATATATATATATATACATATTAAAATTTTATTACAACTAAAATATACAATTTTATTTTTGATACAATATCTTGCATTAAAAAATTAATTATTCTTTTATACACTTAAATATTTGAAGTCATTGTTGGTTGATATATATAATTACTTGCTATTAATGCATATAACAACCATGTGATGATATATGTATTCTTTTTTATTTAAGTTGTGGGAATACTTTTGAAAATTATTATTTTTTCTTGACGTATTTTATATGAACTCCACGTTCATACCATCTGCAAGTGCCATATAATACACTGTCAAAAATACAAAACACATAAACCATACTTATACATACATACATATTCACTGTGTTATTTAAATTATACCCAAATCAGTGGAAGAAATGGATAGAAGAAGGTTAAAGAGCCAGTAGATATATATATATATATATATATACATATATATTCTATATACATCGAATGTTGTTTAATAGGCTGTTTTTGATGATCCAATCATTTTAATTTTTCATTATGGTATTCCATGGGACTTGTGTGGTAGGTTCAATTTCAATTACTTCAAGTCTCAATCAGAAAATTTTCAGTGCTTTTCAAGAATTATAGTTTTTTTTTAAGGTAATAATATTTTTCCTAGAGGGTAAAAATTATATTGCACATGAAACGTGGGTGTTGCCTAATTTCAACTAATAAAATTACTGAACATATTGTATATACACACATATATATATGTATATTAATATCCAAAAATTAATTTTTTCAAATTTATTGATGGGTTTTAGGAATTTTATAAAATTATATC